GAGAACTCTTCATCTATCATTAGGCCCTGCTGCTACTCAGACTTTAAAGCCTTGGAAGAAAATTTGAAGTTTAGAAACCTGCTCTTCCTTACCCATCTTTGTATATTCACCTTCCATTTTGGAAACTGAGAAATAGGTAGCTTTTCCTAGATTCTGCCTACATTATGGCACAAGAATCACACAGCCTAAAGAGCATGAACTCAGAAACAGTGAGATCAAGGTATGAGTTCTTCCTCTCTTACTCGGGCAGTTTGAGCAAGTTAACATCCCTGAGCTTCAGATTCATTATGTGGATTAAATGAAATAATTATTATCTGTGCAAACTTAAGCATGGTGCTTTGCCATGTAGTAGATGCTCAATAAACATCACATCTTCACTGTTTGCAGATTTCTTTGTGTAGGAAACCTGGTTTGTCTGACAGGGAGAAGGGGACTGTGCTCCCAAGCTTAGCAGCCTCGCTGGCTTTGGTTGTCCTGCCCTGCCTACAGAGAGCTCCCCTGGGGAAGCTAGTTGAGGATGTGTCATCAGAAAGCTGGATTTCAGGCTCTGCTGCCAGGATGGAGCCCCCTTTTGCTCACCCGGCTACACCAAAACACAGGAAGACAAACTTACTCGGAACTGAGTTATCCCCGAAGAGCAGATGTTTCTTTTTCCCTGAGAAGAAAACAATTTTACAAATGCAGCAATGGAAATGATAATTCTCTCTATCCAATTAGCAAGAGCTAATTTGGATTTCAAGGTCATTGTGTACGGTGTACTCCCTCTTTCCCATGCCTAGTGCTTTGGCACCACTCCCTCTCTGGTTTTGTGGCTCAGCATCCCTGCACACATTGTAAACAATCACAATTTCCATTTTAGGATTTCGTCGCCTGGTGATGTGCTGCAGTTCCTGTTTTTAGGAAATTGACGCTTGGCAAAAGATGAAAGGCTTCACAGATTATGAAGGTTATGGCACAGTTTTCTCCTGCCTTATGGTTTAATTTAATTAAATATCCTGTAATAGCTCAGCAGCAAGATTGCACTGCAGAATGGGCTCCAATTTGCCCACAGGCAACCTCAAGAGCTCAGCAAATATGAAATATGCTGCATGACTCATCAGCTGATGGAAAATGCAATGAAACTTTCCCTCTTTCAGCAGAATCAGGCAAGGTGACTGAGAAAGCTTCCCTGGGCATACACACCTGGTAATTCTGCATCTACAAGTTCATTTTAAAATATGCTTACAGTGAAGTAATCAGCAAAACCACTGTCTGATCTTGAAATTATTCTGTGGCCACTGGACCTTGAAGACACTGATGGAGGCAGCTAAATCCAGCCATCTGGAACCTTGATCAACTATGTCCCCCACAGAGCAGCCAGGACTTCAGTGAGCAGGAAGCTTCTCTGAGGCATGAGGCCCAAGCGGAGAAGTGCGGAGACCATGATGCTCTTGCTTATTTCTGTAGATGCCAAATTGCCTCATGCCTTTGCAAGATTTCAGATGTGCACAATTCCTGATATTGATTACCCTTGTTGGAGACACTAAGCTTCACAGAGTTTTTTTTTTCAGACATGAAGCAAACCGAGGCCCTGAAGTCACAGGATGTCTTGGCAGCTATGTTCAGGCTGGATAGAAAGGCATCCTTTTGGGGGCATAGCTTTTCTCTGGTTCCATTTCACTTGCTATCTTCAGAAGGCAAAGATGGAGCAATAACTGGTTGGGTGGGGGCCATGTGATAGGGATTGTCTGGGAAGATGGAGATGAGGAACGCTTTAGACAAGTGACAAATGACCTCCCAAGAGACCTGTAACTAGTCATCCAACTTATGAACAGGACAGCAGCCTAAGATAGGGTGCCAGAGATGGCCCAGAATACAAGGTTTGCTGATGTGATCAGCTGGTACAGCCACTTCTCCCTCGCAGGGTTGGAAACAAAGTCACTCTGTTCCTCCTCTAGTCTTCCAGCCATGGCCACACTGCCTGCCCACTAGATGTTTGAGAATCAGTCTCCAGCACTGTCCTGCAACCCTTCCAAAATCAATCCTCAAAGAAGCTGGACTCAAAAATCATTCATGTACACAAAGCTCATTCTTTCATTCAACGAATGAGTATACACAACACAAATGATGCTGGGCAAAGAGCTGGTGATGCAAAGAAGAAAATACATCTCATTTGAACACATCTGATCCTTCCAAGAAAGCACATCCTAGTTCTGGAGATTAACGCACAGGCAGCTGCAGTGCGACGGGTCAAGGAGGTTGTGTTTGAGCGACAAGAACATAGGACTTGGGATCTTGCTTCGTATATTCACTGCCAACTCTGCCACGTAGGTACTATGTGAAGTTTGGCGTATCACTACTCTTAGAGCTTAGCTTATTTACTAGTGAGAGTTGAATAATGTTAAAAGCATAGTAGGATATCATTAGGGATATCTCCAAATTATCATCTGGCACAGAGAAACTGCTCAGTAATAGTTTGGGAATTTAAAGATGCTGTGATAATGATACCACCAAGTACTATGAGAGCACAGAAAAGATAACTTCTCTCTGAGGGTTATAATTTAGCTGGGTTTTAGAAGAGGTGTAGCTCACCCACCAGAGAATTGGGTAAAGATTACTGCAATTTAATTTTCATGAGAAAATGCCCAGAGAAGTAAAAAAAAAAAAAAAAAAAAAAAAAAAGCAGGGTCTTTTCAAGTTGGTATGGAGGATGCAAATGGTAGATGGAGGTGAATTGAGGTAGATTCAAACGTAAGACTGGTGTGGCTAATGGGGACGAAATTTTGGGATAAGATCATTGTGTTAGCACTGGAGGCAATTAAGAAGGAGGTTAACAAGTTCAGAAATGGGATTTGTAAAATTAATCCTGGAGACCAGGGCTCCAGGGCAAGGGAGTGGAGAAAGAGAATTTAGGTGGGGAAGGTAATGTTGTAAATGAGTGACGAAAATCAGGACCTAATCTGGACTGGTGGCCAGGAAGATGGCCACTAGGAGTCAGAGTAGGGGGAATTTATGAGGTGGAGGAAAAGAGACTTAATGGCTAAATGGATGTGGGATGTGAGGTGGGAAAGGATCCAAGGATGTCATTGAGCTTGGGCTTTGCAACAGTTGCCAACATCTGTTCTGAGAAGTTTGATGAAACATTCTTCACTCACTTACAGAAGTCCAAGAGGCAAAGGCTGAGATAAAGCCAGCACTTTTCATCAGCATGTTCAGACCCTGACTGGAGCTGGGGGCTCCAAGAGCCATGTTCTGCTACCATCAGCCTGGGTATCCTCACTTAATCTTCCCAGCAATTCTATGAGGCAGGCGTTCTCATTCTCATGCTACAGAAGGGGAAAACCAAGGCTCTGCTATGTCAAGAATCTTGCCCTAATGTCATATAGCCTGCAAAAGTTGGAGCTGGAAATCAACAAAGCTTCAGTTCTTACCCAGTTCCCCCTTTCTGGGCCTCTTGTAGAGATGCCTACCTCATAGGATTCATATTGGAAAACCACTTAAGATCACCCTCTTTCAGTGAAGACAGTGTCTCTCCACAGCAATAGGTTATGCTTCTGGGCTTAGCCTGTGAGGGGCAAGGCCAAATGAAGCCAGCTTGTCTCCATTTTCAAACTATTTATTATTATAAAAGCAATATTCAAGTGAGCCAACATGAAACTCACACTGTCCCCAGTATCTATATCCATTCACTCACATCCCTGCCCCCACCTATTGGTAGCATCCTTCCACCGTTTTTTACCATCTTGTGCTGTGCCCAGCACTGTGTTGTTTGTTTGAAGATGTCTAGGATGCTTTCAGAACCTCTTCTGATGCTCTTCTTTATCTTACCATCCTCCATGGAAAAAGTATTAGCCCTTTGGCATTCGAATAGTTCATAGAAGAATAAATGTGTCTCTCTCACTTCTGGAATTGCTAAAAAATCCTACAAATGATGTTTAACTTCACATTTGAGGAACTATGTTGGGATCTGCCCCATTGGCCTTCCAGGAAGTAAATTATTTTAATTAATTAATCTATCTCAATTCATTCTTCCCAGACAGTGGCAAACCTTCCATGTCAGGGAGGACTAGGCTGGCCACCCAGTGGGTCAGAATGCCGCAGGTGTGACTTTCATCTATGGAACATTGGGGTTTACAGAATCAGTGCTGCTGGATGATTCCAGTCACCCAGACAGTCATGCTTGTTTTGAAAACTAAGGGATCTGGTCTCAACATGAATATGGCAATGGAAAGCAGTTTATGTGGCTGTCCAACTACAGTCAGCACTATAGACAATAGAGTAAGTCTGGCTACCATGAATAAAAATTCCAAGCCTCAGGGTTGAGGATCAGAGGGACAGCTTGATTTCCCTTCTCTATAAATTGGCGCAACTTCTTCTAGAAAGACTGGATCACTGCTTTTTCTTTGGTTTTCAGATTATCAACTGCAACATGCACCGCATCATTTTAGACTTCATGTTTATGGCTGACCTCCAACTAGCTGTAAGCTCCTAGATGTTAAGGATTGTGTCGGACTCACCTTCAGCCCTAATGCTTAGCACAGCAACTGAAACATAGGAAATCCTTAATAAATATTGTTCAGGGCTACTGCTTTAGGCATAACTGTCAACAGGGATGATCATAAAGCTCCACAGTAGGAAATCATTTAATTCACTCAAGACTCTTCTCTGTACCAGTCTTACCCAAGATGAATGGCAAAGGACTATTTTGGCTGGGGGAGGGTGGGAGTGTAGATGGTTTTATAAATGAAGACAGGTTATAATGATATAATGCTGTTCTTTTCTTATGTATCTAAATTATCATAAAAGAAAAAAATTTTTCAGAGGAAGAAAGAGTAGAAAGAGGAATCTGTGATCCTTTCAATTAATGTAATGGAGATCTCAATTTAGCTCGAAGAGCCCAACATGCCTGGGCTTGTCTATTGAATTGGTGGAGTAACTGCCAGAAGCCTGTTTGCATATGGATTGAGGGTCCTCACGGGAGAGTTCTCATTCTGAAGGAAGAAGTTGCCTGGCAACAAGAGTTTGACCCACGAAGACAGACTTACCCAACAGAGGAACAAGGAAGCCTGAGTACAGTGTGGTGTCTGTCATCTAGATCCATCCTCCAGCCGGATAACCTGAATGTACGCCTTCGTGCCATGGAGCATGGGGAGTCTGAATGTACAAAGTAGAGAATAAACCTGCTTTACTAATATCCTTTTAAAACATCGGACTACAATATAGGGTTTCGGGATCTGTCTGATAGAGTAAAACCTAGATGGAAGGGAGACATTTTCCCCTTTCTTACTAAAAATCAGTTTGGGTCTGGACATGTCACCAAAACATTCATTGTAGTACATGGCAGGGCAGCAACAGAATCAGAAGGAAGACTTTGATACCCCGTGAAGCGCTAAGAATCAGTACCTGTAGGATGTGGTAGTATCCACATGAAATTCACGGGACTATGTCTGCACCTGGTACAGAGTAGCAGAGTGGCAAAGTAGCACTCAGCAGAGGGCTGATGGGAGACTGTTGCACCCAGTGGGCCCTTTAATCTTTGAACACATTTGGGATCACTATACTGATCTGTGTTTCTCCAGGGAGATCCTCAGTTCCCTATACCCCTATACCAATTACAGGAGATGCTTGCAGAGGTGAGGACAAGGAGGCTGCCCATTTCAGTCACTGGCAGCACCATGGTTCCAAAAGTAAATGTATGTGTTAGTAAAAAGTAATGACAATCCCTTTACATTGGCCCATTGGAAAACTATTCTTTACAATGAATTTATATTTAATATATTTTTATATTTTTCCAAAATGTATATAATAAGAGACGTTTATTTTATTTTTTTAAAAAGAAAAACTGTTCCAATTATGAGATGAGGATGTTCTGGGGACTTAATATGCAGCATGGCAATTATAGTTAACAACACAGTATTATATACTTGAAAGCTGCTAAGAGAATAGATCTGAATGTTCTCATCATGCACAAAAAATGGTAATTACGTGAGGTGATAGAGGTGTACACTAACCTTACTGTGGTTTATATGTGTGTGTGTGTGTGTGTATACAGTGCTTATATATATATAAAAATTACAAAGTCGTATTGTACACTTTACACTTATATAATGTCTTATGTCAATTATATCTCAATAAAGCTGGAAAAAAGGAAAAAGAAAAACTGACCATCAGACCATGACTTCCAACTCTTGCTTACAAAATATGCTCATAACACATATGTGACTTCGCTAGCATTTACTTTGTGATACCAATCCAGAAATGGAGGCAAGGGAAAGTGAGGAGTAAGCACTCCCAGGCAAAGCTGTGACACAGGTAAAATTTAACTTCCCTTTTCTTTCTTTCTTTCTTTCTTTCTTTCTTTCTTTCTTTCTTTCTTTCTTTCTTTCTTTCTTTTTTTTTAAGATTTTATTTATTTATTTGAGAGAGACAGAGAGAGAGTGCATGAGTGGAGAGAGGGGCAGAGGGAGAGGGAGAAGCAGACTCCCCACTGAGCAGGGAGCCCAACAAGGGCCTCAATCCCAGGACCCTGAGATCATGACGTGAGCCAAAGGCAGACACTGAACCGACTGAGCCAGCCAGGCACCCCTCAACCTCCCTTTTCTGCTTCCTTTTCCGCAATCATGATATGTCCCTCTCCCCAAAAACTCCGGTCCCTATGACTCCACATGTCTCGAGGCTCTGTTCCAGAAAACCTTTGACCAGTTTACTGCCAGGGTTGGTTTTGTATTTTTTGGGGGAGGGCTCTATCAAAATATTCTTAGCAGCAAGGTCAAATGAAAAGAAAATTTGTTCGTCTGGGGAGCCCTGCAGAGAGCCCCTGAGGTCACACCGTATTGTAGTTGGTCACCATATTCACCTTTCAAGAAAGTCATGAGAAAAGTAAATCTGACCCAGATATCTTGTTAGCAGAGGAACTCAATAGTACTCTCACAAGGACTGCTTCAGAGGAGGATACGTCAGGACTCATTTAGCCATGGGTGTCTCTGTCACCCACAGGGACTCCTGGGCCTTTGAGTGTGTTCATTGCATAGTGCCCCGGTGGCTCACGGGAATGCATTAAGGGCAATCTGGAAGGCTGACGTGGCAGGTTAGAGGAGCGCTCCCAGTATCTTTCTTGCCCCACAGTAAGCAGGATCTTCTCACAGGGCTTCCTTCTATGCTGTGACATGATGTGCATTCTGTTTGGCCTGGTCAGCTCCTGAATCTTTATTGTTCACATCAGGGCCTGCATAGCCAGAGAAGCTAGCTGAAGGCAAAGAGCTACTGACTAAAGGAAGAGAACAGGCATGCAAAGAGAAGGGTGAGAGACAGGACAGCCTTCCAGGTCTGAGTTTGTAAAACAAGGTCTTTTTGGAGTTTGATTAGAAAGAGACTTTGGGGTCCCAGCCATAGGTATGAAAGAAGGAAAGAGAGCCAAATGAAAGAAGAGAATGCAAGATTTTTGCGCACATGCATTATTAGCTGTAATTGCTTTTTGGCATAACTGAACTAAAGGTTTAATTCACTTTTCTATTACTCTTTCATCCCAGAATGATGCTTCTTTGAACACAACTGTGATGGTACTGAGTGGTGGCTCAAGTTTATGCAGTTTGTACTTGGAAGCTGTAATGGTGTGTGATTCTTAGGTAAGGTACATCCCACCTTTGTCTAAGAAATGTTGAAAGGACACCAATGCTGCATTAAAGTAAAGGTCACCCCTATGTGGAACACTGTGGCAGTGACTCTGACCCCAGCTTCTTAGGCCCAAATGCTAGGAAATGGTTGTGTTACTCATTAATGAAACCCAGGGCTCTCTTCTCAGGACCTGCTTAATCTCCCTGAGGTTGGAGCAGTCCTTCTGCTGAGATATTTTAAGGTCATTAGTGGGACATTTTTTAGAAAGACATCCTGCAGTCCAGCATGTGAATAATAAGCAATCTATCAACTCTGAGTCACCAAATAATGAGAGAAATCTCCAGGATACTTGGAGAGGGTTAGGGTTCCCAGCAGTTAGGTAGGTATCTGGTCCTATAGAAAGAGCATACTCATGGGGGGAGCACAGGCTGATTAGGAGTGAACCTCCTCTACCAGCAGAGAACAGGAGAGCAGGTTGCAGCACTCTCTGGTTTGGAATGTTTAAACACCCTTGATTTTTGTCCAAACCCCCTCCTACCTCTTTGTCCAGCTCTGTGCGCCCCAGCTTCTGCTGGTAATGGCTGGTGGTTAGTGGCCTCTACTGGCATCTTCAGGGAACTATTCTGTGCCTGGAAGTTTACATCCAGCCCCAGCCCCACGTCATGTTGATCCATAGCCAGTGACATAGCACGGGAAGACAAGATCCCAGTTTCTCTACCTCAAGGTGGAGCAACAGTCTCCAAGGTCACATCTATCCTGGCCTTCTCTGGGAGAGCAGTTTGAGGCTGGGGCTTCATCAAGATCAGACCTTGCTTGTTTCTTCCTTCCTTATTCTACTTCTCTTGCCTCCTTACTGATGTCTTCTGGGAGCGCTTCCTTACTAAATCACTGAACCTAAATCTTTGGCTCAATATCTGTTTCTTGGACAGCACAACTAAAACAGAATGGTACACGGTTTGGAGATCTTGAAAAGAGGTAAAAAACATTATTGGTTCTTCGCTATTCCTGTACTGGTGTCTCATGACCAGAGTGTGAGTGAGTGCTGGGCCATCCAGAGGGTGGCTCTTCAAAGTTTCTGTGGGCATTCTGTCCAAGAGAAATACCAAGTGGCCCACAATGAACCTGGCTTTGCCATGTAAGCTTGACCATTCTCTAACATCAGGATGTCGTCCGCTGTTTAAGTTTCTGAAAGCAGAGATTATGCATCATGTGATTTGAGAGAAACTGACTTTATATGAGACTGAACTAAAATGACATAATCTATTATATCTCAGGATTATAAAGAAAGAAGTGTAAGAAGACATAAAAGATGTGATGTCTAAGATTTAGCAGACTACAGGTGTTATTCTATTATTTTGGGGAAAGTATGTCATTTTCTGTGCTATATTTCCTGTATCTAAAAAAATGGGGAGTAGTCAACTTCTCTGCTTGCCCTAGACAGTAGTTTTTAGAACACGACAACACGTGGAAAAGTCCTTTATAAATGATAGAATGCTAATAAAAGTGGCAAGAATACTATTTACTGATGATTTGTCTTCTATTAGGATTAAATCATCTTGAGATTCACAAGCACACTAATGCTCCTTCCATGGGTGGGGTGTGAATTCAAGGAATAATGATTAAATTGGGGTGCCTGGGTGGCTCAGTTGGTTAAGCATCTGCCTTTGGCGCAGGTCATGATCTCAGGTTCCTGGGATTGAGTCCGGCATCAGGCTCTCTGCTCAGCAGGGAGCCTGCTTCTCCCTCTGCCTCTGCTGCTCCCCCTGCTTGTGTTCTCTCTCTCTCTCTCAAATAAATAAAAAAAATCTTTATATAAAAAAGGAATAATGATTAGAAATACATGACTATTAGGAGGGTAATCCAGAGTAGTAGTTTTAACACTAAAACCCTTTGTTGAAATATAAGTTCACTAACAATATTTTTATTCCTGGTTAAAGTAAGAGAAATATTGAGAGAATCTCTAGGCCAAAAAATTATTTCAGTCCAATAATTCTAAATTACCTTAATTGTTTTCTGAAAAGCAAAAGCAGGTTTCCTTATTTTAGTCGATCTAGTGAATTGTTACCTCCTCCCTACAAATCAATGAAGAGACAATTCCTGATTGAAAGAATTACTGGTTCATCATATATATGGGAATATATAGGCAGGGAACCTAAGGACACTTAGTTTAATTTTGAGAACCTAACAGCCCATCTGGTAATTAATTGAAAGAAGATTCAGTTCTATTAAAATAAAGTTACTCTTGTAAAGATATTTCCTATGTGTTGAGCAGCTAAAGAATAATACTAAGCAACATCTTAAAGACATGAACCTACACCTCTGCCAAGAAGTTTAATATACAAAATACATCAAGATTTTAATATAAAATATTTTAATATTGAAAAATGTATATTGATATCCTTCCCAATCTTAGATGTGTAATATATGCATAGAGAAATATGGTAAAAATACTTGAGAACAAGCATAATGTCGTTCCTGAATGACAGAATTATGGGTGATATTTTCTTCCTTATGCTTTTATGTGTTTTTCAAATTTGCCACCATGAATAGGCACTCTTTTAATATTATAAAAATAGCCATTTTAATGGAAAAGCCCAGTCCCATCAGAAGACTTCTAGGTTGGAGTGGAATGGGGGGCAAGGCTACCTATTTCTCCTCCCATTTTGTAATTGTATGTCCTCTGTTGGGATCTAAGCTCCATCGGGGTGGAGACTTTTTGCCTTCTCTTGTTCATCATTGTGTGGCTGGTGTGACTTGCACAGGGCAGGCAGTTCATAGATAGGTAGGTGGTCAGGGAAGGAATAATGACAGGTAATGACGAGGAGGAGGCACTTTCCCAAGTCAAAGAAACAACACGAACAGATAAAAGAGACTAGTATAGCTCAGCGTGAACTGAAGCCGCGCAGGTAATTCAGCATGGCTGACATACTGGGTATTGAAGGGCAGCGGTGGGAACTAGGAGCAGCTCTAGCTGCTGAACCTTCGCTGTGTGCCAGGCGCTGTCTGAGTTTCTTTATCAGCGGCATCTCATTATCCTTAGGATATCCTGCCAGACACATTATTTTTTCCCATTCGTAGCTGAGAACTCCGAAGCTCTCTGAGCTACTGTAAAGGAAGGGGAGAGATGTGAAGCCAGTGCTGTCCTGCCCCCAAGGAGCCTTCTGGATTCTTGTACCTCTGAGGGGGAAGCCTGTCTATGCAGAGGGACAGACTCTTAAAGGCAACAGAAAACATTAAGTTTGGGGAGAGGACTGACATGATCTTTAGGGCATGAAGCTGGAGCTACTGGCTAATCACTCCTCTCATCCAACCCCTCATCTCTCTTAACGTGAACTTTCTAATACTTGAAACTCCCACATTTCCTTTTTTTAGAGAGAGAGTCAGGGTGGGGTGGGAGGGGCAGAGAGAGCAGGAGAGAGAGAATCTTAAGCAGGCTCCACACCCAGAACAGAGTCTGACATGGGGCTCGATCTCATGACCCTGAGATCATGACCTGAGCTGAAATCAAGAGTCGGCCACTTAACTGACTGAGCCACCCAGGCGCCCCACCCCCACATTTCTTATACCCATGAGTTAGTGTGCAGAATAGCTTTGGTGAAATGCCATAGTTATCCAGAAGGAACAACGCACGGCGTGAGTAATTTTTTAGTATGAATTATCAGAGGGCAAACTCCTGAAGGAATCAGACACCTTTCTTTTGTTTAATTGAATGATCTTTTTTGGAGCCCCACTATACACCAGTCATTGCTTACACACTTGATATGCATCATGGACAAGACAGATACTTTCTCTGCCTTATTAGAATTACAGCTCAGGAAACAGCCATGATCGTTTTTATTGCAGGTAGGAGAAGGTAGACCAAAAGGTTGCAAATGGAAAGTCACGTGAAGCAGAGTCCTTACAGTGAAGAAAGCAGGACGGGAGCCCAGGCATTTAGGAGATATCATGGGGTGGCGGGAGAATAGGGAGGAATACGGACAGGGTCCCAGTTTTCACAGTGAGATAGGTTCCCATGCCTAAAGCAGGACCACACCATCATATTGCCTTTCTGGATACCTGCAGTCTGAGAAAGGGATTATCGCGGTAAAACTTCATCATGAATCTTAGTTGCCTGAGAAAAATGAGCTTTGAATCATTAACAAGGCAATTGCTGCTACATACTAATGACACCATTTCCTGCTCCTGGTCTTTTCAGCATTAATGGGCCCTGTGGTGTGGATTGAATGATATAAAAATGATTACACGCTTTGGAGATATTTCTGGGTTTGATTGTTTTATGCCATGCACCACTTGTTTAGATTATGAATTAACTAATAAATCTGTGTTACTTCTTAAGTTTTAAACTTGAAAGTCCTTACTCCTTTTTCTGATACCAAGTTAACATAACCATTTCTGGTGATAGCTGATGAAGACTAAGCCGTGGCCATTAGTGTGATTTACTTCCCACCCACCCGTCCCCCAAATGACCACTCATCTTTCCTAGTGATTGAGAGATTATGTCACTAGTTTAATGAATAATTTCTCCTCAATGCAATGCCATTTATCTCAGCTTGTAACACCCTGCTTTGTGCACACTGGACTCAATAAATATTTTTTCAACTTCACTAATTATTCATGTATTTTGACCCATATTTAGGACTCTATCCTAACAAAATAATTCTAAATATGACAAATAAAACAGAACTATGCCGAAAGATGTTCAGCATAGCATTTTGTATGGTATAAAAACACTGGAAAATTCTATGGGGCCCCTGGGTGGCTCAGTCAGTTAAGCATCTACCTTTGGCTCAGGTCATAGTCCTGGGGTCCTGGGACCAAGCCCTGCATAGGGCTCCCTGCTCAGTGGGGAGTCTGCTTGTCCCTCTGGCCCTCCCCTTGCTTGTGCTCTCTCTCTCTCTCTCATAAATAAATAAAAACTTTTCTAAAAAATGGAAAAATCTAAGTATACTAATATAGGAAGTTATAAAAACAAGTATTTTCTTCCAAATGATGAAATACTATACAGCCATATAATGTTTTGTAAGAACAAGGAAAGATGCTGATGCCAAAGTATTATGTGAAAACCTGTAGGCAAATTCTATAAACAGTATTATTATAATTATGTAAAACATATAGGAAAAAATATCCAGAAAATACTCTAAAATGAAAATAGTGGTTTTCTCAGGGTGATGATACTATTTTTACTATTTTCTTTTCTTTGTTTAACATATGGTATTATTTTTTTTAAGATTTTATTTATTTATTTGACAGAGAGAGACACAGCAAGAGAGGGAACACAAGCAGGGGGAGTGGGAGAGGGAGAAGCAGGCTTCCTGCGGAGCAGGGAACCTGATGCGGGGCTCGATCCCAGGACCCTGGGACCATGACCTGAGCCGAAGGCAGATGCTTAACGACTGAGTCACCCAGCCGCCCCCATATGGTGTAATTTTTTTTAAAAGATTTTATTTATTTATTTGAGAGAGAGAGAGAAAGAGAAAAACAGCATGAGAGGGGAGAAGTTCAGAGGGAGAAGCAGGCTCCCCGCCAAGCCGCGAGCCCAATGTGGGACTCGATCCCAGGACTCCGGGATCATGACCTGAGCCGAAGGCAGTCGCTTAACCAACTGAGCCACCCAGGCACCCCATATGGTGTAATTTTTAACTTGAAATTATTTTTGAAAAAAAATTTTCTAAATTTATTCAAAAATTGGGGCACCTGGGTGGCTCCTTCAGTTGAGCATCCCTTTCTTGGTTTTGGCTCAGGTCATGATCTCAGGGTAGTGACATTGAGCCCTGCGTCAGGCTCCACGCTCAGGGGGGAGTCTGCTTGAGATTCTTTCCCTCTGCCCCTCCTCCCCCTCTAAAAAAAAATAAATAAATCTTAAAAAAAAAAGAATATGCTTAAGGAAAATGAACACAGGTGTCCACAAACAGCCTTGTGCTTGACTGTTCACAACAGGGCTATTCATAAGAGTCAAAAACTGAAAACAATCCAAATGTCCATAAATCAGTGAACTGATAAACGAAATGGGGTGTACCCACACAATAGAATATGGTTTGGTCATTAAAAGGAATTCAATACTGAACTATTACTACAACACAGATGAAACTCAAAACCATTGCGACAGGCACAAAAGACAATATATCCCATCCTTCTATTTAAGGAAATATTCAGAAAAGGCAAATTTATAAAGATAGCAGGTGGATCAGTGGCTGCCCGTGGTTGGGGGCAGGAGGAGAGAAGGACTACACCCATGCTCCTGGGAAGTTTTGGGGGGCTAATGAAAATGTTCTAAGTTTGGACCATGATGATGGTTGTTCAGCTCCGTAAATGGACTAAAAATCATTGAATTGTGAAATTACAGTGAGTGAATTATATGGTATAGATATTACACCTAAAAAAAAAAAGTAAAAGGTTATGTGAACTTAGAAAAAGAAAGAGGAAGAAGATAAAATGAGAACAGTGGTTGTGAGCCCTGGTGCATCCTTCAAGGATGTTAGTGGGAAAAACTGATTAGTTATAGGGCCTGGAGTAAGTTTGTAGCCTGTCAGCTTGGGTTCGCACAGGGAGATGGCTCCACTTTGAAAAATTGAAAAGTCTGTTGTTTTTGTTCTGGAAGCTGCTAGAAAGGTCAGGGCTTTCGTCTTTACTTCTGTGCTCAGATCTCAGCATCGTGGGGTCTCTTCCAGAGTGTAGACTGCAAGCTAGTATCAAATTGGATGGGACTTCTTCCCTTCCAGACATACGGTGTGAAACTGATCATGCAAAAAGTCCCCTGGAGGAATTCAGAACTGGCCCTCCCTGGAACCAACAATAGAAGTAAACTCAGTAGCTACTCAGATTTTAATGGGTGGGGTAACAGAATATTTGTTCCAGAAAATTTCTAGAATGGCAGAAAAAATACAACTGTGGAAATTTGCTAGCTTACTTTTTCATATTGCCATGTATATCTCCCAGAAGAGAATTGAAAATATATGAATAAAGCAAAGAAATCATTCAATAAGTAAGAAAATCACCAACTGGTATCAGTAATATCATAAGAAACACAACAGAATTTTTTCAGCAGAATATGACAATATCCAACAGATGCGTGGGAGGCTTCTTTCTAGGCCTTGCATCTTAAGAATATGAACATACAATTGCCATGGATTTTAACTATGATATGGTGCCAGGTTTCTAAATTCTCCAGGCCTTGGTAAACAAGCAACTGGAAAATACTGAGGCTTGCAATTTAGATTTTTCCTTTCAGAAGTCTGGTCATTATGGATTTCCTGAAAAAGATCAAATTACATTACTCCTGAAATTTTTCTGTCATTATTTTCAAAATTGTGTACTTTCAGGAATAAGCCTTATACACGTAACCATTGGAAATGTTGTCTTGGAGAGACAAAAAATTATTCATTTGATCACTTCCCTGATTAAATGCTTTCTTTTTTTTTTATTGCACAGATTATTCTTCACCGTACTATAGATGATATGGTGTTAGTAATGAAGTAGTATGTATATTACAGCATCAATAGGAGTTATTTTCCTAGGAAATTTAATTGTAATAAAGCACAATAGTTCTATTATAAATAACAAAGATATATATATATATATGTATGTATTAAAGATTTTATTTATTTGTCAGAGAAAGAGAGAACACAAGCAGGGGGAGTGGGAGGGGGAGAAGCAGGCCTCCCGCAGAGCAGGGAGCCCTTTGCGGGGCTCCATCCCAAACTCTGGGATCATGACCTGAGCGGAAGGTAGACGCTTAACCGACTGAGCCACCCAGGCGCCCAACAAATATTTTTAAAAGACAACCAAGTGACTCTCCTCTCCAATAAATAGGAGAAAGCTCATTTTGTCCATGAAAGAGTCCTGCATGAACTTGGATTTTTTGACACCTGATTTCTGGAGGGGAGAGAGGCACTGACAAGCACAGCACAGGGCGGGGACATCCCCACCAAGGGTCGGGTTGCGGCTCGCCACACAGAGGCAGTGCCTGGAGCGTGCACCAGGGCTGAAATGAAAAAGACGAGCTGTGACAGGTAGAGAAGATAGGAGGGTGGCAGCAAGGGGCCAGGCAGGTGGTGTGCGTCATCACATTTAGGAAGTTCCGAAGAAGCAGGGAGTGTTTTCCTTCCACCAGACTGCTCTACTCTGTGGAATATCACTACTGGCTTGAAGGACTGCTTGGGATGCATTCCAGGTCACAATGGTTATTGTCACCTTCCATGTAAACAAATGAGGGTCATGAGTGTATGCGCATGGTTTTATGCTCTCGCTGTAGAGAAGAAACATTCATGAAGAAATCCATCAGAAAGACAGAGAGGTGGGGGGAATTCCAAATCTTTTCCAGCAAATAACTCTACCGGGAGAGTCCCTGAACTACCCTAGGCTCAGGATCCCCCAGTCTCTGCTTGGATAAACAAGTATTGTTAGAATGGAGGTAATAAATGTTGATTTTGGAAAATTCAAAAATGTAACAAAGTAAAAGGGAAAATTTACCTGTAATCTTACCGCCCAAAGTAGCCATTAACATTTTTATGCAGTCTTATTTTTTTGTTTATGCAGATACATAAACAAATATGGAGTTGTGATTATAACGTACACAATTGTTATGTCCTCCTGCCTTCATTTATTCATATGCATTTTCTATGGAATTGTTAATGCTTGGTAAACATCATTTTTCATAGTTGCCTGATTGAAATCTTTTTGTTCCCAGGTTCTTTCTAGGCTTTGCATCTTAAGGATATGAACATACAATTGCCATGTTTTTTTTTTTTTTGCTATCATAAATGATACTGTAATGAAATTTTGTGCATAAATACTTTTCTACATATTTCATAATAGGTACTTAGGGTAGATGCCCAGAAGTAGAATTACTGAGTTAAAGTGGGAAAACATTAGGTTTTAAGGCTCTTGATTTGTGGTTTTGATTTTTTTTTACCCTAAATAATTGAGTTGCATGCCCCCCAGCAATGCTGGTGTCTTCTTCACCCGACCTTTCACTAGCCCTGTGTATCATGATTCAAGAAGTTACTTGCTAATTTCGCATCCTCTAATGTAAAGATATAAAAGATGAAGCAACAATAACAATGAGCCAAGAAACCCTGCAAAAATAATAAAATAATAAAACTTAATCTTGGTTTGCTTACCGTGGACTGAATGTTTTATGTTGATCAGCTCGGGCAGGTGGGTGCCGTGGGATGCCTGGTTCACAAGGGAATAAATGGAGGCTCTAGAGATTGAGTAGCCCAAGTTTAAACAACTAGAATGCATACTTCTAACTTGTTTACTAACCTACAATCTTTATTCATCCTATTTAAAATTAAGGTGTTTTTACTTTCTCTGCTGACTTTATAGCCCATTCCAGCTTTGTCTGTTTCCCTTGTATCTTCCCTGTATCAACTCTTTGTTCCTCGGTGGTGGATGCCTATTCATCCTTTAGACTTGCAACATGGATTCCCTGTGAAAGCTTTCCCTGAGTCATCATTGTTCTTAACTAATTCTCTCACCTCGTTGGTTCCAGAGGTTCTCATTCACGGAATATAACTGCTTTGGTGGGGAGGTGTATCTTTCATACAGAAGTCTGGGTTTACCTGGAACAGAAAAAATGTGCCATTTCCATTTTTGTCTAATTTTCTGAATCTGCCCTTATTTCCTCTTCCTCCTCTAGGGGAGTCCATTGTAAGGCCTGGTTTCTACCTGGGATGTGGACCAGCTCAGGAACATTCGTGCAAGATGTGGTTAGGTTGAGGCCACTCTGTCTCTCCCACACCTGCTTCTCAACATGGACATCTGCCTTTGCTCTTTCTGCTACTTACATGCTTGCCTCCTACAGTCAATCCAGCAAATCAGAAATACTAGAGTATGAACGATTTTTAAAGTTTCTCCAGGTGGTTTTTGTTTTATTTTTTATTTTATTTATTTTTATTTTTTTGAGAGGGAAAGAGAGTGGGGAGGTGGAGGGGCAGAGGGAGAAGGAGAGAGAATCTTAAGTAGGCTCCATGCTGAGCGCAGAGCCTGACGTGGGGCTCGATCTCACGACCCTGCGAGCATAACCTGAGCCAAAATCAAGAGTCAGATGCTGGACCGACTGAGCCACCCAGGCACCCTTCCCTAGGTGGTTTTAATGCAGTAAGAGAGAGGATCTCTCTTCAGATCTATTGGTCTGGTATCTTCATCTGAAAAACAGATGCTCTTGAATTCCTGGCCGACACGTCACTGTGATTTACAGAAAACGTCCTGATCAGTTTGATCAAAGGCCAATCATTCCGTCTCTCTGCAAGTGCATACCTGTAACAGGGAAAAGAAAATTAACAAATTTTAAAAGTATTAGAAATGAACTGAGCATGATGATAATAATACCAATAATAATAAATTAGCAATACCAAAAGAAGAATCATAATACCAATAATAATAAAACTAATGTTTATAGGCCATTTTATGTGCCAGACACTGTGCCAATTGCCATGTGTATCTCCATGATATCTTTTCATCTAAAGCTGTTCTTATGATATAGGGGATAATTCTTTTCATTTCACAAATGGAGATCTCAATAGAAACATTAATTTGACCAAAGTGACGCAGCTGGTAAGTATGGAACCTGGATTTTAAACAGGCAGCCTGGCTCCTAATCCACATAATTAGCCATGGCAGAATGTAGGAGGGATGGATTTTGTGGGAAGAACTTAGCCCAAACCCAAATCACTAATGTTTAAATAGCAAATATAAATAAGAAGCAGAGGATTGGTATACCTTAACTAATAAACTTTGTTTCCTATATCCACACCCAGAGAAAGAACTCATCTCTTTTTCAAGCCTCCATGAAACATTTACAGAATGGATTCAATTCTTTTTTTTTTTAAGATTTTATTTATTTATTTGACAGAGAGACATAGCAAGAGCAGGAACACAAGCAGAGGGAGTGGGAGAGGGAGAAGCAGGCTTCCCGCAGAGGAGGGAGCCTGATGTGGGACTCGAACCCAGGACCCTGGGATCATGACCTGAGCCGAAGGCAGCCGCTCAACGAACTGAGCCACCCAGGCGCCCCCCAGATAAGTACTTCTTAAGATAGGCAAAACCTTCTCTTAAGAGTTTTCCTTTTTAACAAGAAAGAATTAAAGTAAATAATCACAACACTGAGCTATTCCTTCTAAGAAGGTAAAAATATCCAAAGCTGCCTTTGGATACATTAGGCTGTTCAGTGCGACCTTCATCCATATCCTTCTAATGGAATGGACTAGAAAGGAAATATTGTGTGGAATAATACCTAAAACCTAATTATCACACTATAAGATTATATTTTTTGTTTCCCCCTTATTTAGGTGACAGGTTATTTCCTTATGGAAATCACTTCAGTGGGCTTGACTCTTGGAAAACCAGGGTTATCTGCCATGCCATATTCTGTGTTCTTTGAAGTGATTGCAAATTGTCCTGGATAAATTGGACTGGTAAATTCCAGGTTTCAAAGGTGAAAAGAACTAATCTATTAGTAGTAAGATTCCCCCAGCAGTTACATTTCTAAAACTGTCTTAAGTGGGTATTCACTTATATTATTTTAAATATACTTATATTAAATTGTGTGTATTTATTTGAATGTACATACATACAAAAGGTGTTATATCCATATTTCATCCATTTCTTGGACTGATTTTCTTTTCTCTTCCATAGAGTTCTATTAACTTATAGTGTTTCTAATCACATTTGCAATTATCTTAAGGACCCTAATACAAAGAGTGTCAGGCACTGATAATTTCATTAATTTCTGCCAGTGCACAAAAATCATTAATTTAACATTCACATACTTGAGTAATTGAAATAACCTCTTTTTCTATGCTCGGCAACGTTTTTCCTCCTGCTCAAATTTTTTTCTATCTTACCATTGCTAGCAATGTTCTTTTCCTTTTCTTATCTGTGATGACTTTTCATTAAAATTTAATATTTTTTCTGCAATATCAGGATATTGCATTAATACCTTTTGGCATTCTGGGTTTCATTTCAGCTGGGTAACATTATTTTCCTGGGTCTTGTCTTGTGCTTTAAATTTCTGATGACTTTTTTCTGAATGTTCATATTTTCTACCTTGTATTACAGTCTTTGTGTGTGTGTGTGTGTGTGTGTGTGTACATGTGTGTGAGTACATGTGTGTGAGTGTGTGCGTGAGTGGTTAGTCTTGACTCCTAAAGTGTGAGCTCCCAAGAGAAGATTCTGTGTTTGCCTTATTTGGGTGTTCTCCTGGGCCTAACTAGCCTGTCTTCTTCTTCTTCTTTTTTTTTTTTAGATTTTTTTTTCTCATTTGAGCGAGAGAGAGAGAGAGGGAGAGAGCACCAGCGTGGGGGAGAGAGGCAGAGGGAGAGGGAGAAGCAGACTCCCTGCTGAGCAGAGAGCCCAACTAGATTCTAAGACCCTAAGATCATGACCTGAGCTGAAGGCAGATGCTTAACCAACTGAGCCACCCGGGCACCCCTGGATGCGTAATTTCTTTAGCCTTATGATGTCTTGCTTTGAAAGTATCTTTTTATCCATCAAAGTGACAATGAGCTGGACTCAGAAATGCCACAGGAAATTTGGTCTTAAAAAGGTAGAGTGGACCAACCCACAAAGTATGTAAAATCTGATTTTGTGAGGGGATGGTAGAATCCATATATCCACAGGGGCTAAGCATCTGGGTTTGGGATGCACTGATCTGATGCTATAATCAGGAATCCCAAAGAATATGACACTCACGACCATGTAGTCATGTTTGGGCAAGGCCTGTCCAAGTTTCCATCCTTCGAAGAGGTGGAAAAATAAACTTGCTTTACCTCTTTACATTCTGCTTTGTTCTAAGGCTCTTGGAGATTTATCCTAAGCCCTGCCTGATTAATGTACAGTTTCAACCAGGTTGACATTCTGATGTTAACCTCAGTACTTGGTTGCTCGGAAATATTGTGACAACTTTATACAGAAAGACAGACTATTCTGGGACAGACATATAACTTCCTTAACCATGGGATCAATCTTTCTTGTAACTTCATGAATTCTTTCTGCAGAATATTTCTGCTCTAATGCTTCTAGCCTCTCAAATAAACCTAGTCTAGTGCCCTGGGAATTATCTACTTTTTCATTAAGGCAGCACAGGTAGAGAAAGAATTACAGATTACCTTATTGGATTTATTTGAATTTATGTGAAACTCATCTATATCATTCTGTCTCTTGCCTTTTTTTTATTGGTAATTCGAACTGCTTCCCAATTCTCTGTTGAACTGTGTTATTCAGCTTTCTGTACAAAGTGGAATTTATGTACTTCTATGCACTTTCCCTTTATGTTTATTCAATGGGTAAGTATCACTTATTCTTCTGCTTACAAAATAATTTACATGAAGGACATTTAACTACTCCCTGGGATCTTCCAGATTAAGAAAGATTACTTATAGTGGGCTCCTTTGGAAAAAGAAAAATTACCTAAAACATATTTCATTCTTTGTAGATTCTATTACTGTTTAGCAAATATTCTCTCCCTGTCCTCTTGCCACAGGAGTATAGTGTTAATGCTGGGCTTGGACACATGACTTGGCTGATGAAATGTGGGTGGTATGACAGTATCTATGTTTCCACTAATTCTCTTGCACTCCTGACCACCTTGATGAAGCAACATGCCCCAGAGGATAGCTGCTCTTCCATCTTGGGATTTGAGTAAGATGGGGGAGAGTTGTGACCCTGTCTCGCTACCTGGAAAGAGATGACATAGCTGACCTGCAGACGAGTGTGTGGGAAACAAATGTTGCCTGTCGTCAGCCGCTGAGATCTGAGCTTGTTTCTTGTGAAACATGTTCACAAGGGACATGTGCCTGGAGGGAATTCAGGCTTGTTATGGACTGGCAACTAGCCTGGACCTCCCCTTTTCCCATGAGGTTATTTATTGCCTTCATCCTGGTCTTGTTTTATCTTTATATGGTATGTGTGTGTGCATGTGTGTTTGTGAGTGTGTGTGTACATGTGTGTGTGCTCAAAAGAAGATACACATAACTTTTCTTTTAGCTATGCAGGTGTAGACCAAGAGGAACCATATCCAGACTTCCTGAAGAGGCTAGTACAAGATCCTGGACTCCAAATCCAATGTCTTTTAGACTGTTCTCAAGGAGGGTGTGAATTTATTTTGAAAGCAGAGGGAATGCATCAATATTTGAGACCAAGAGAATGGGTTGTGGTAGATTTTACTATTATTCAGCAAATATTTATCCTTTTCTCTGCACAATAAATACTATTGACCCCCATCACTGGTTCAGCCATTTGACCTCATGACTTACTATGAACAGTGGGACACGGGGGGGGTGGGAGGAATGCACAATATGCCAATTCCAAAGGAAGGCTCTAAGAGGCATTGAAAGTTTCAACCAGCCTCCATGCACTCCAGGTCTCCTCACAATAATAGTGCATACTGGATAGAAGCCACTTTGACTTTAGTGTATTGGATGAGAAAGCATATGAAGTTGACCTAAACCAGTAGAGTGGCCAAAGCCAACTCACAGAACTGCGAATGAGAAAAAAAAAAAAAGTGTTTGTTCTTGCAATCTACTGAGATTTAGATGTTTTTTCTATACAGTACTGTTGCAGCAAATGCTGCCTGCATAAACTTTTGATAAGAGAAGGGCTAATGCCCACAAGTCGTTAGTATTTGAGCCAACCACATATCTGTCTGGACAGCATTATATAGAAAATATCAGATTCAAAGAAGGATTATTCTGGAAAGTTTTAAGTAAATTAAGAACGAAGAGACTCGTTCTAAACAAATTCTGCTCTTCACCATGCATGGGGGATGCTTGCCAGAATTCTGACTGAAGTTCATTGGTAATTTTTCCATCTGTATAATGTGCAGTGGAAT